TTCCCATTCACAGTCATGGCAATTAATGGGAGTTCTAAAGTGACACAAAATCTTGGCAATCCCAAAACCATCTCAAAGATGAGAAGGCCTTCAATAGTTACAGAATGAAATCTGAGAGAAAAAACTACTCATTCAAAAAGGATATTTCTCCCTCCGCAATATTTCCAACGTTTAGTGCTAGCTTCACTTCAGAGGCGTTTGAGAGCACCGATGTAGCGAGAAAAACTTGCAAATGACCGACTGCAAACCAACATAGAACCCAGCGAACTCGAACCGAGCACTACTCCTCATGGAAAAGAAGCCGAGCAAGCTGATCTTTAGCGGCGATGTTCTCGCGTTTGCTTGCCATACACCTCGAATAATCTTCCTCCACAAGATCCGAATCACATGTCTTCTGATGATATCTGTAAAACCTCATACCAATAATCAGAAAAGTTGAAAATGAATGAAAAAGTATCGACGTGACTGTCAAATGAAATCGAAATCGTGCATCAATGGTAAGTATCAGTGCGGAGGCCAGAAATTGCCTCAAAAAAAAACAGCATAACTACTGCGAGAATTGAAGAAAAGGTAAGCGATGACAGCGCCCACTGAACTGTGGGATCTTATTCCTTTTCGTTGCCGTTTGCAATTCTTCTGATGCAATTTCTCGACAAAAACCCACCTTATTCTCAGCGTTGGCTCCACAGCGCGAAGTATGTGAACTTCATCCTGATTCATAAATGCAGTAATCAAATCCAATCTCTTTCCAGCTAGTTTTGGTCGCATGACAACATAGTCGGATCCGTAAACAGCCATGCAAGAAAAATCGAGCGAATCGAAACGACCATGGTCCTGAAAAGCAAAAACGAAAATGATTTTGAAATGTTTGCTGCAGATTTGCCAATTTCTGAGAACTCTCAAAGATTTGCGCATAATCAAGGAGTAGGTTGGTTCACTCAAAAGCAATAATACAATGAATGATCTGTCATTGCCTAGCTAGGGAAGTCTGGAAATTCAAGGGGTACAGGATCCTAATCAACCTAGGGAACAGGCCTAGAATTTTCAACCCGCACTCACTACTTAACAAAGGAAGAACATAAGTTTTGCTTTACTTTGCTATATTTCCCTGCACTGAACCAGGGTTTCTATGTAACCGTCCAAAAATTCATTCATTTTGGCATGACGAAATAGGAACGGAAGGAGGAAGACTATTTGCACAGAACAGATAAATAATCAGGCAAACAGAATAGTGAGCAATTATTTAAAAATCATCACTGCACCTTCTGAACAATAAGCGGACGCTTCCGTCTTGGTGGTGACGAGTCACGAAGCCGAGTCAACGCCGCATCTCGAGCTTCCTTTTGATCCGCTGGTACCTACATCATCTACTTTAACACTATAGATATAGATAGCAGCCTTTATGCGACAACGGTTTGCCGACCATGAGGGTCCACATGTGGGCTGTAAGAACCGCTCTTTTTGGGTTCATCGAACAGGCTTTTAACTTAGGTGATGAGAATACATCGATCAATGAAGCAGAGCTGTGGCTCAAGAAACATGGTTCCACTTCTCAAGCTACGAAAAACAGCGAATGAATCCCAGTTGCTAAAAATTATCTGGTTCTCGTAGGCGCAATTCGTAAAACATGCGCGGTCAGTGATTTTTGAGATGAGCACAAGAAATCGAGGAACTCAGAACAACTTACTTCGTTCTCGTCCACATCCATTCCCGATAACTGTAGGCTGAGTAACTCAACAAAGGGAATCGGAAAGAACACCTGGAAATCCCAATTTGCACCGCTTCAATTTAACTATCTTAATTACTGAGTACAAACTACAGAAAAGGCATTACCTGATAATGTTTTATAGTGTTGATACGAGCTCGATCGAGAAATTCTTTTTGCACATCAGCGTGTGGTGATAATAGTAGAAATATCGAGCCACTACCGTAGCCGATCGATAGCTTCGTCGAGAGCAGCGCTTCCTCCACGTACATCTGCTGATTTTACTTCCCGTGGAGCTTTCTTCTCCGGAAGAATCTTGCAGTTGTAACATGTCCGACTCCAATCCAGATCGCTTGCATCTGAAGATGTGATCAAATGAAATCCTGACCTCGATACCAGAGCAGATCAGGAGAGGTTGAACTAAACCTCAAATTACAGATTCAATATAGTCTGCAGAGTCAAGCAACCGTTGCAGAGTCCACGTTAAAAATGGCCTACATTTGATTCCTTCTCAGAAGAAGCCATCTTAGGGAGAGGGGTAGATGCCTTGTCTATGACTTTCTACAGGTTTTTAACACGCAGTCGATAATGTTAAGTGCTGTCGGGCGATCCTCTACCTTCACAAGTCAAGTAAAGTGAAGGGGAAGGGGAAAGGAAATCTGAACTCTTGATAAAATGCGTCAGAAACGAGTACCGTGAACAACAAATTGAAAGACGACACTGACTTGAATTTGTAAAATTCCTATCAAAACAAAAGAGGTTCCGTCTCAAATTCATTTACATGCTGCAGAATAATGAAATAAAGGTAAGATAAGTAAAATGGAAAACAGAAGCATAACAAGATACGCAGTTCAGTTTTTTTGGACTTCAAAAAAATGTTTAGTAACTTGGAAAGAGAGAAAAGAGTGGAATCTGTTGGATGGACTTTGAAAATATAGGTAAGCCATACAAATGTCACCCAAATACCTACCTTCTCTTCAATTCTTCCAAGTCATTGGCGATATTGGTAGCTGATCGAGGATCAATGCCAGGTAAAAGTGCGACGACAACTCGAGTCTTGAAATAACTGGTTCAGCACACAGTATTAAAAAAAGTACAATCTGCTCAATTACACGACATTATCTTCTAACCTTTCTTGTTTCTTCAGCTGGTGCAGTACAGAGCCTTGCATGCCTTGCCAAAAGTCGTCGTGCTGGCAGCACTTCTGACTCATCACTCACTGGTACAACAATCGTCATATCTGTATCCTCCTTTACGTATGGAACCTACAGGATACCGTTTTTTAAATCAGGAAGACAGGAATACAGAATGAAAGCATTTATGAATTGAAACCGGTTGAAGAACATATGGGGCTAATGGACCAAGAGTCGTCAATATATGAAATGTTACTTGATTCATAAGCTGTGTGCCGGCGACCATACGACACAAATGTACACGACGCTCCACGGTAACTTGGGTAGCACCATCTTTATACACCAGATCGACCATATAATCCATGCCACGCTGTGGATCGAATAACCTAAACTTTGTGGGTTTGAAATCGAAACTACTTATGGGGTCAGACAAATATTCCAAGACGCAGAGCCACGTATTTCATATCTTTACCTATAACCGTTTCGGACTTGAAGAAACTCCAAATCCGGCTCTTCCAATTCTACATGTTGCCTAGCTGCAGCGACCACCTATAAGAACCATCGACGTTTAAACGTATGGAAGAAACAAAACTCCTACCTCTAGTACATCGTCGCGATCTTTGCCTTCGAGTGGACGAACGTTCTGGTTGGGTTCACTTCGAAAGATATCTTTCAGCGTAAAAAAATCCCATGTGGGAACCTGAAGAACTCGTGGCTAATGTTTGTTCAGCAGTTTTCCTCATGCAAAATCGTTTTTTATTAAACTTTTGCAGAGCCACAATGAGAACGAAAGAAAAATACAAAAGCAAAAAATGAAACAAAAAATGATAGATAAGCGAAGAAAACGAAGGTATAAGTGATAAAACCCTTGCACTGATTCTATACATCTGGAGCATATGCTTTATAGAAAAGAAACCAAGCCCTTTGATGAATTCTGTTCCAGTTATTGTGTTAAGATAAGAAAACGTGGCAAAATGTCCGCCAAGTCCGCAGACCGAATAGTGGTGCAGGAAAAAAACTTCAAAGAAAGGGGCGAAAATGAATTCGAACCTGGTAACGATTAGGAGGTTTACTGTACGGAGGAACGGCTGCTGGCCACGTGGGGCCTTCTTCCGTGTCTTTTTGAAGTTCGTTAAGCTCCATCTCCATCGAAGCAATCTCAGCGTCAACTCTGGAGTTAAGTAAGCCTAGTAACGACGAAAACGGCGAACAGTTCCCGCATATTTATTGACAAATGGATAGAAAAACCCTTAGCCACTCACTTAGCTACTTCCACGCTCACAAAATGATCATGTAGAGCGGACGCGTCAGCATCTGACAGTAACTTGGTGACAGCAATTGACTTATTGAAACCATCATGCGTGCGCCATTTATCGATAGCATCATGAGCCGTCTGCGTACCATCGACATGCCAGACATTGTACATTTGACCCTAAAAAACGAATATAAATGCAAATTCCAGGAGTTTGCTTAAGCATGCTCAATAATGTAAGCGTAAGT